GTGGAGATCCTCCTCTCCCTGGGAAAGCAGGATCTGGGCACAGCTCTTGGATTCCAGCACAAGCGTGTGCAGGCTTGCCCGTCCCAAAATGGAAGAGCTCCTCAGAGAGGTGGTGGAGAAATGTGAGGTACGGAAGTGTTTTCCCTTCCTCCAGCCTAGGAACTTCTAGGTCACTGGGGAGCTGTTAGGGTGGAATAGCTTCATCTGGAGAGGCTGAGGACACCTCTCCTGGGAAGTCCTTATCCCTTGTCAGATGGAGCACCCGCGCTGAGGGAGAAGATGCCAACTCCAGTATGTCCTGTGACGGGAGAGAGTGATCCAGCCCCCCAGGGATCACTCAGTGATCACATCTGCTGAACAGTTGAACAAAAGGATGGGGAGTGCATCTCACACGGACATCTCACACGGCTGTATTACAGGTGTGGTCCTCAGCAGTGTCCTGCAGCAGCGGAGCTTCTGAATTTTGGAGGAGCTAACATCACCCTGGAGACGCCAAATCCCCTTTGGGTCCCTGTGTCCCTTGCTACATGCAGAGGAAGCACCTGCATCTTGCCTCCACCTCTCCCTTGGCCAGACCACGAGTCGTCAGGGCCCTTCTCCACGGGTGGCTGGCTCAGGGCTGGCGTTGCGCTGTCGGGTGTCGGGCTGTCACGTGGAGGGGGGACCCCCACCTGTATTGCACGGCTCTGCCTGCTCTTCAGCCCCGTACCTGACCCCTGCCAGGCCGAGCAGCGTGCTCCTGCATTTCCTGGCAGTTCTTTCATGTGCTGGTGAGGGCTTCTTTGCGTGTGTGGGTACGGGCTCTGGGGAGGGACCGTGCCGGCAGGGCAATGAGAGGAAAGCAGCCGCGGCCTCTCTCTCGGGGGGAGGGTGTGAGGAGGCTGAGGAGCGTGGGCACTGAGTGCAGGAATGTAGCTAGCCCTCCCTTTTATCCTGTGGCTTCCTTCATTCCTTAGTGCATGGGGGCTATCCGTTACCCAGCTGTCGGTGCCCCCTCATCCTCGAGCACTGAAGGAAGGCTCGCTCCACCCAGCTCCTCCCGAGCAAGAGGCTCCCCTGCCACTGCTGCTCCTACCTCAGCCTTTTGCCACTGCACTGCCGACCGTCTTTTTGCCACGCGTGTGGAAATGGTAAATACTCAGTCGCCCGTGCTGCTGCAGGATACCTAAATCAACTTTATTCACAATCACAGTTACCCAATTTTTCACAATGAGTTATTCTTCTCTTTAAACGGAACACAAAACATCTTAAAGTAAAGCGATGAAATGCTGAGGACACAAGAACACGGAGGTACGTGGGAACTTACACCAGTCAAACAAAAGGTTAGGATTGGTTTTACTGTTACTGCTTTTGCTGTTGTGGGTTTTTTTTCCTCCCTGGAGAGAGCCTTGTTCTCCCTGCTCACAAGCGGAGGCCAGCTGATGCTGGGAGCAGGACCTAACCCCAATTTTTGAGCTTGGATGCTGGGGGATGCTTTTAGCTTCTGCTGACTCCTAGAGTTTGGTCCACAGTAAAACAAACACAGTTATATATTAAAACACTCTGAATTTGAAAGGTGAAAAGGGAATTCACACCACTGCACTGGTACCCACAGATGGAGTTTCTTGAAAAATAAAGTGTACCCCCTGGCTTGCCCTGCGTGCAGGGGAGCCAGTCCCACTGGGGTGGTGAAGGCTCGGGAGGCTGCTTATTGCACGTTTCCCCACATCCACTATCAACACTTCCTCCCCCTTAGGCTCCTTCTCTCCCAGATCTTTGCACTAGAGTGTGTGTAACTACAGGAACAAGCTCCCTGTGTCTGCCGGCCTCCGGTAAGCAGGAGGCTGGCTGCGTGCCTGTGGCCTGGCCCTGCTCCTGGCAGGGGTGCTGTCACACCCCCCCCCCCAGCCCCACGCCAACCCGGCCTCTTCCCACCCCTCAGTGTGGGCGTCCAGGCAGAGGAGCCATGGCCCTCCAGGGCTTTCAGCTGGCCCGGAGCGTAGGGCAGGGCTGGGTTGGGGGTGTACGTGAGAGGTATGCAAAGAAACGACGTAAATCCCTGTAACCAGAATGTCAGCGTTCAAGTTAGTTACTGCCCACCGGGGCGGGCTGGGGGGGGCTGCAGACCCCCATGGTAGGCTGCAGTCATAGTGGTGCCTTTAGGGAAAGGCTCTACAACGCGCTTTCCAGCTAGTAGCCTCCTTTTTCATTTGCTTGAGACGAGAGGATGAGGACATGTTTTCCGGGAGCTTTCCGAGAAGCCCCTGGGAGTGCTTCTCCACCCACCTGCTGCCTGGTGGGGCATGATGCCCCCCACAGCAAGGGGCTGTGTCTATGAAATGCTTTTATCATGCCATGCTGACCCCGTGTCCTGTTAGCGGCCACGTGCTGGGGCGCAGGCAAAGGCTCAGCAGGAGGAGTGTAGCTCTGCGTCCTGACCCTGGCCTGGTAGGCAACACGGCGGGGTGAGCACCACCGCTGCACTCCCCCTCAGGGCTCTGACACCATCTCGACCTCCCACACGGCTCTGGAAGGCAGCAGGATGGGGCCAGAGGGGTGACAGGCAGCTCCTGCCCAGGCCCAAGGGCTAGGCCAGCTGCGGTGGTGGAGCAGCGGTTGTCACAGCAGCCGTGGGGGCTGCCATTGCGGGCGCCCACCATGGGGACAGCAGGGCTCCCACCTGGGGCAGGAGGGAAGGGGATTTATTTAAATAAACCAAAGCAAACCAAACCCCTCAAGCTATTTGTTTTTGTCTCCTCTTTTCCTGACACAGGAGGACAGCCATGTCCTGCCAGCGGGCTGGCTGTGAAGGGCTGAGTACGCCGGCCTGGTTTTGTCTTAAAGCACAGTGATAAAGTTACCAGTAAATGAAACCCGCAGACATGTGGGTTTTTACATTCTTCCCCAGTCAGGCTGGGGGTTTTTTGTTTCTTTTTTTTCTTTTATTTTCTCCCTCACAAGCGCTGTCTGGATGGTAATGGAGGAAAGGCGAGGGAGACGTCTCCCGCTCCGGTGGGGCCACCGG